AGTTAATTTTGAATAACTTACAGTAGCAATATTCTTATAATTATAAAATAATGATTTTATCAGTCGGTCATTTTTAAATATTTATAAAACATGAAAAAATTAATTGCTCCGAGTCGAAGACTCGGAATAATCGTTTTCTTTCTGTTTTATAACAATATTTTTAAAGTTGATTAATTTCAAAAAGGTTTGAATTTGAAATTTTTGAAAATCTTAATTCTTATGGGAAAATTATAATGACTAAATATTTATTTAAAAAAGATAAACATAATAATGCGGAATACAGTATATTATATAAAAGTTCCATGTATTTATAAAAATTTATTGGAATTATTTAATTTTGTAAAATATAAATGTAATTTTAAAAATCTGGAAAAATTCCATTTTTTAACCTGGAAAACCTGAAAAAGTCAGGGAATTTGAAATGAGCAAAATCGTAGCAACCCTGACTACTTATTTTTGGATTAAAAAAAAAATATTTTCTTGGTAAACTTGGTAGTTTACCAAGTAATGAGTTCTAAACGAAAGGTCCTTTCTAGAAGTATGTATATAAGAAAGTATCCTTGAATCTGTATGATGATAGAGTTAAAAATTTAAATAAGTGCCATTCCAATCAGTACCACGACAAAAAGAAAAAAAAATTTGACCCTCAGAATAGAAAAGTAAAAAAGGAACGCATTGCGAAACCAGGGTGAATGCCCCAAGGGTCATCTAGACAAGAGATGAAAAAAGACTCATTCGTCAAGTACAAGTCTTCAAGAATATTCTACTCCAACCCCACATTTTCTTCCATTGTACACAACAAAAATTTTTTTTCCTCTTCTTTTCTGCAATTTTCCATCGGATTCATGAATAAATATAATAAACCTTTGTTGTTTTATTAATAATTATTTTAGTAGTAATTTGTAACAATATTTATTTTGTAAAGTGCCTGTTAGAGAGATAAGGAAAATTGACTCAACCTACTTTAAAATCAAAACAGTAGTGTTGTCTATTAATTAAGAACCAATATTGGTCACTAATCCTTTATTTATCTTATAATAATACCCAAAAACTTTGATTCAAAATGCCTTTGTTTAAATTTGTCAATTTTTTTTTTACATAAATTAGAATAAAACAAACAGGTTTAGAATTTTAAAGAATTTTAAAGAATTTAAAAAATAGAAACTAAAATGAAAGAAAAATAGTGTAAGAGACTTACACGGAAAGGAAAGTAGTAAAAATTTGTTAAAACTTAAATTTCCCTTTTATTTTAAGTACATTGAATATATATAGAGGATAATAAAAAAGAGATTTAATGAATACATTTAATTTGAGAGCTTTTAAATTCAATTTATCCAATCTAGATCTCTAATAGGATTATTGGATTAAAGTTTGTAAATGTGTGGGTAGCGTTGAGGATAAAGGAAACGTGATAATCTACGTATAAAGATACTTAAAAAATAATCTTCGTAATATTGTATATACAATTTACTGAACGTACATAGACGCCTTAATAGAACTTAATTGTACTATTCGTATAAAATATTTTTTTCCTACTCTATGAAGTGAAAAGAAATGAGCATTTTAAGTCAATTTTTTCTGACACTTTATATTAAAAAAAAAAACGGTTTTTATTCAAAAATCTTTATGTATGAACTGCAATTAATTTTTATTTCATTTAAGCATAGACATTTCTTAACAAAATTCATATCTTTATTTATCAAAATTTTATTTTTGATTTTATTTTTTCTATTTATTATTTATTAAAGTTCGTAGTTCTTTATATATTCTTTTCTTAATTTATCAAATTTCATCATTAATTAAACTAATGTAATAAAATAATATAATAAAACTAAAATTTTGAATTTTTGGTATCTTTTTTGTTTGTCTCATAAACTATGAATCTACCATGAAATCTAAAACAAAATCCTCAAAATTTATTTCTATTTCTAACAAGAATGATTTTTTTAATATTTATTTAATGATTTCAAAAGTTTTAACGCAATTATCTTGATAATTAACAAAATTCTTCACAAAAATTCAATTATTTTCAGGAATTTAAAAAAAATTCTTTACTAAATTTACTTATTTTCAAAAATAACAATAATCATCACAAGAATACAATTATTTTCAAAATTAATAAAATTCTTCGAAAAAATTCAATTATTTTTAAATATTTTAACGAATATATTTCGTCAAGAATTCAATTATCTTTATAAATAGCAAAATTTTTCGCTAAAAGTTCAATTATTTGCAAAATTTCAATTATTTTCAAATGTTTTTCGCAATTCAATGATTTTCCATATTTACTATTTTCATAAAATTTATCAAATAATTTAATTATTAAAAAAAATTTTTGATACAATTCTACGAAAACATTCAATTATTTTAATAAAGAATAAAATTTCTTTGAGGAATTCAATTATTTTTATCGCAGAATTTCAAATATTTTTCATACAATTTTAAATAAATTTCTCGAAAAATGCAACTATTTTTAAGAATTGTATTCAAACTTGACGAAAAAATTCAATTTTAAGAGACATTCATTTATTCAATAAAATAATAAAATTTGTTGCAATAATTCAATTATTTTCACAAATAATTTTAATTCCTCGCAGGAAATAAACTATTTAAAAAAAATTTTAAGTAATTCTGCAAAATAATTAATTTATCTTGATAAATAACAAAATTCTTCACAAAAATGCAATAAATTTTAAGAATTTTTAAAACATTCGTTGCTAAATTCAATTATTTTCAAAAATAACAATATTCATCACAAGAATTCAATTATTTTCAAAAGTAATAAAATTTTTCGAAGAATTTCAATTATTTTTAAAAATTTTAACGAATATCTCGTTAAGAATTCAATTATCTTTATAAATAGCAAAATTTTCGTCAAAAATTCAATTGTTTTCAAAAATTTAAATAAAATTCTTTTCAAAATTTCAATTTTTTTCAAGTTTTTCGCAATTTAATGTTTTTCAATATTTACTATTTTCAAAAAATTTATCAAATAATTTATTTATTGAAAAAAATTTCTTAAACAATTCTACAAAAACATTCAATTATTTTCATAAATAATAAAATTTTATTTGGGAATTCAATTATCTTCTCCGCAAAATTTAAAATATTTTTAATACAATTTTAAATAAATTCCTCGAAAAATGCAATTATTCTTAAAAATTTTATTAAAATTTAACGAGAGAATTCAATTTTAAGAAACATTCAATTATTCAATAAAATAATAAAATTCGTCGCACTAATTCAATTATTTTCATAAATAATTTTTAATTCGTCGCAGGAAATCAATTATTTTCAAAATTTTTTAAGTAATTCTGCAAAATAATTCAATTATCTTAATAAACAACAAAATTCTCCCCATAAAATCAATTATTTTAAGAAATTTTAATAAAATTCTTTTCCAAAATTCAATTATTTTGATAAATATCAAAATTTATCAAAAGTATTCAATTCTTTTAAAAAGTAGTAAAATACTCTGCAGAAATTAAATTATTAAAAATTTTTTTTTAAAATTCTTGTCAAGAATTAAATTATCTATATATAAATAGGTAGCGAAGTTTTTCTTAAGAATTGAATTATTGTCAAAAATTTAAATAAAATTCTTGTCAAAATTTCAATTATTTGAACAAAATTTAATAAAATACTTCGTATCGATTCAATTATTTTCATAAATTATTATTTAAATTCATCTCAAGAATTTAATTATTTTTAAAAATAATTTTAATAAAATTCTTCAAAAAGTTTTTTACTATTTTCAATTATACCAATTTTTAAATGGGTATAAACTTTTTTAATTCAATAAATTTCAGTAAATTTTTATTAAATTCCTTAAAAGAAATGAATTATTTTCAAAAGTTGTTAATAATATTCTTTGTAAAAATTGAATTTTAAGAAACATACAATTAATCAATAAATTATATTTAAATAATTAAATTCTCGTAAAATTTTATAATAAACATTGATTTAAAAATAAATTTCGGTTAAAATTTTAGAGAATAATTTAATATTAATATTAATACTATTAATATTATTAATATTAAATAATAATTTTGTCACATGGTTATCTTTAATTATTATTAAAAACATGAAGAAATTGATTAGTCCGAGTCGAAGACTCGGAGTTATTGATTTCTTAATGTTTATATAATAATATTCATATAATTTGTTGAATTTGAATGTTTTAAAAAATTTTAATTCCTACGGAAAAATAATAATTAAATATTTATTTAAAATTGAAGCTATCGATGTTTTCGAATAATTTTACAATGAAAGAAATTCTTAAATAAATGTAATAGAACATTTTTCTCAGTATCTAATCATTTTTAGAGAGCGAATCAGAATATTTTTTAGGGTCAAGGAAAAAGTCAAAATTTTATCTGGAAATCAGGGAAAAGTCAGGGAAAAACAAAGTTAAATTTTTGTGGCAACTCTGTATATGGAATTATTTATTATTTTAAATTTTAACATTTCCTTAAATATCAGTCTTATAATTTTTTTTTGTTTCTTAAGGGTTTGAACAAAGCTATTATGCTTCGGATTCTTATTAATTTTGAATATTAATTCTGTTTTAAAAAAAATCTACTTAAGAAAAAAAATAAATATAAAAATCTACTTAAATAGGCGCCAAGAATATTATTCTTATTCTAAGAATATTTTCACTTAATTTAAATGGTTCCTTAAATTAAATTCTTGGCGCCTATTTAAGTAGATTTTTCTTAAACTTATAATGTAATTATTTCAGTGTGAGAAAAAGATCTTTTTATGGTACTTCTTTATCTATTAATATACTATTGTCTATTGATTTGTAAAATAAAATTTTGTTACATTTCTAAAATTGTCATTTTTGTATATAAATGATGATATTATAATGAAAGCGATAAAATGCGAGAATCTAATAAAGCGCATAACACGAACGATTGACCGAAATATTTGACAGTGTTTTGCTAGTTTATAGAGATGAATTGAATGTTAATAAGGTCGTGGACGTTTGGTTGTTACAGATGGCGAAGCATCGTACGAAATGCAGGGACCAAATTTCCTGACGGAACCTGCATCGCGCGTGGAATTTACTAACGTGAGTGGCGGCAGAGTGGACTGCATCGTTAGAGGAAATCCCGAGCCAACTGTGGATTGGTTGGCTGCAGATGGCGGAAGTGTGGTCACCATTCCAGGTATAAGGCATGTCCTTGGGAATGGGACCGTTCACTTTCCAGCTTTTGAGGCCGAGGCCTTTCGTCAGGACGTGCATTGGGCCATCTATAGGTGTTCTGCAATCAACAGCGTTGGTGCTGTTGTCAGCAGGGACGTCACTGTTAGAGCAGGCAAGTATTCTGCGAAATTCTTCCTCGTTAAATGCTCACCACTAAACCACATTTCTCGACATACCAGAAGAGAGAAAGAGAGAGAGAGAGAATGAGTGAGTACTGTTATTGGCATTCTCAATCTTTTCCTGCTACTGACACATTCATTTTTCCATTCACGAGTATTACGATATTTTCATTTTTTTTTTTTTATTAGGAAGCCAATATATTGTACTTTTTTTTCATCAGCCATTTTCATCACTGAAATCTTTTTTTTCATTTAGTTAACGCTGTATCAATATTTTCTCAATTTTAGAAACTATGTATTTTTCTTTTAATTTCAACTAATGGTATTTGTCAAGCAATCCATTTTTGATCTGTGTGCATATACTCCCTTTGCAACTACATTATCGTTGGAAATGTTGTTGGAGATATATTTGCAGAAGTGAATAACGAAATTGATGAATTAAAATTTCCGCAAAAAAATTATTATTAACTGACTAGTCGATTGATTTAATCAATAGATTAGCTGCCGTACCTGCTTTTGATTGGACTTTTTTTGTAGCTACAATTAACAATTTTTTTTATATTTAAATTCTCTAAAATTCTGGAATTCAGTTCATCACTTTATGTTCCTCGAGAAAGGAGATTAAAATAATTAAATTAAATAATAAAATAAACTGAATTGTTTGTGGGATGTTGCTTAACAACTACATCCTGAAAGATAGAAAATTTTATTGTATTGGAAAAGAAAAAGATTAAATTTAATTTCTCAAGATTGCCACAGGTCAGGGAATTCAGGGAAAAATTAGGAAAATTAGAATTGGTCAGGGAAATCAGGGAAAGATCAGAGATTTTTATTAAAAGTACTGGAAAAAATTTAATTTTTAGAATTTATAAGAAATAAACTTACATATAAACTATTATAAACCATGAATCTGCCATGAAATCTAATACAAAATCTTCAAAATTTATTTCTATTTCTGACAAGAATGATTTTTTTAATATTTATTTAATGATGTCAAAAGTTTTAACGCAATTATCCTGATAAATAACAAAATTCTTCACAAAAATGCAATAAATTTTAAGAATTTTTAAAAAATTCGTTGCTAAATTAAATTATTTTCAAAAATAACAATATTCATCACAAGAATTCAATTATTTTCAAAAGTAATAAAATTCTTCGAAGAAATTCAATTATTTTTAAATATTTTAACGAATATCTCGTCAAGAATTCAATTGTTTTTATAAATAGCAAAATTTTTCGATAAAAATTCAATTATTTTGAAAAATTTAAATAAAATTCTTTGCAAAATTTCAATTATTTTCAAAAGTTTTTTGCAATTCAATGTTTATCAATATTTACTATTTTCATAAAATTTAATAAATTATTGAAAAAAATTTTTGACACTATTCTACGAAAATATTAAATTATTTTTATAAATAATTATTATTTTAATTTTTAATGAATTTAAATAGAAATTTCAAAAACAAATGATTACAGAAATTCAATTATTTTCTAAAGTGATAAACTTCTTCGCATTAATTCAATTATGTTAAAAAATTTTTTAAATTCTCTTGAAAATTTCAATTATCTTTAGAAATCATAAAATTCTACGTTGAAATTAAATTATTTTCAAAAAATTTAATAAAATTCTTAGCGAAATTTAAATTATTTTTAACAATTTTCCTTATTTCAATTATTTTTAATGTATTTTAATAAAAAGTTTCCAAAAGAATTCAATTATTTAAAAATTTCACAGGAATTTAATTACTCACCAATTTTTTTTTTATAAATTTCTTCGAACCAATTCAAATAGTTTTAATTTTTTTTATAAAGTTTCTCGAAAGAATTCAAATATGTTTAGAGAATTGAAAAAAATAGTTCTGAGAAATTCAGTTATTTCAAAAAATTTAAATAAAATTCTTTTAAAAATTCTATTATTTTGAAATATTTTGACAAAATTCTTGACAAGATTTAGTTAATAAAATTTCAATTATAATAGAATTTTTCTATACAATTCAATTATTTTTAATACAATTCTTTTTAAGAATTCAATTATTTTCACAAATAATACATTTTTGATGGGAATTCAATTATTTAAAAAAAAAATTCGAAAAAAATCTTCGCAAGAAATGAATTATTTTCATAAATAAAATAATATTTTTCTCCGGAATTCAATTATTGTCGCAAATAAAATTCTTTACAGGAATTCAATTCTTTAAAAAAATTTTTTAATAAATTTCGTTGCAAGAATTCAATTATTTTCATAAATAACAAAACTTAACGCAGAATTTCAATTATTTTTTAAACAATTTGAAATAAAATGATAGAAAATTGCATTTATTCTTAAAATTTTTTTTTAAATTTGCCAAAAAAATTCAATTATTTTTAAAAGTTTTGATAAAATTTTTCATAAAAATTCAATTGATTAAAAAATGAATTTTTCTTAAAATTTTAAATTATAATTCAATATTAAAAGCATTGCGTGAAATTTTCGAAATAATTAAATTTTGAAAATGGTCCAAATTAAAATTTTCAAAAATTTGAATTCATAGTTACAATATTTATATATTTTATAATAATACTAATAATAAAATCATATATTCTCATAAGCTATTGAGTTTGAAAATCTTAATTCCTATATAAAAATAATAATGATTAAATATTTATTTAAAAAAGAAGTTGTGGATTTTTTTGAATCATTTTTCAGTTCAAGATATTCGTAAATAAATGTAATAGAACATTTTTTTGAATATCTAATATTTTTTGGATGGAATCAGAATATTCTTCAGGGTCAGGGAAAAAGTCAAAATTTTGTCTGGAAATCAGGAAAAAGTCAGGGAAAAACAAAATTAAATTTTTGTAGCAACTCTGTTTTTGTATTATTATTGACAAATCAAAATTATGAAAATTTCTTACTTTTATTTTATAAAAATCTTTTAAATACCTCAGTTTTATAATTTTCAATAGGCAATAAAAAATTGCGATTAACAAATTGAAAAACTATAATTTTGATATGTAATTTCTGTCCATTTAGGAGATAACTATCTATTTCTCAAACATTGCCAGGAAAAAAGTAGAAAAGAAAAAAAATTGATCCCTTTTTGATTTGAATAAGTTAGTCGTAATTTTTCCCTGTATTTATTATATCTTTGTGATATTTCTGTTGACTTTGCATTTATCTAAAGTTTCTGGCTTGAAAACTTATAAAGTTATCTTATATATGAATGACAGTGAATATATATGTCTAAAGGGAGAGTAACAGTAGTAGGACCTTTAAAAATAAAGTTTCGTCCAAGTAAACGAACTGGAAATTTCTCCTTATCGTGATAACATGCTCATGAATCATTTCGCGAACACTGCAACTTATATATTATAGCTTTTTGAATTCATGTCTCGATCCTTTGCAACGTCAGCTTTTGGCTCGTCTTCACTTGCGCTTCATATGTATATATGCGCTTCTCTCCTGTGTAAATGAAGCTTACAAAAAAAAAATTAAAAAAAAAAAAAATGGAAAAAAAATGGAAAAAATAAAGAAAACACCTCGGGAAAGACAATCTTCTCTAATGTAATCTAAGCCGCTAATAAAATTAAAAATGAAAGCTGCCAGCTTTTAAGCTCTATAAATAACAGTGTGTCAGAAAATGTGAAAAAAAGATTTGTATCTCATTTGAATTTTTGTCATTTTATTTTTTTTAACTATATTTATGAATTTAATAATAATAATTTGAATAGTTGTAGAATTTATCACTCGGTAAAAGATAATATAAAATATCAAGAAAATTATCAATCCACCAAGTCAAATATTAAAATAATAAAAACACAGATTTTAAAATTTCGAATTATTTTACGTTTTCTGGTGAGAACAGCGAACGATAAAACGATAAAATTATGTTTTTATTATTTTAATATTTAACTTGGAGGATTGATAATTTTCTTGATATTTTATAATAATAATTTGCTTTATATTTTTTAATTCTTTAATTTGGTAACAAATCGATTTTTTCAAATTGTATTTATTATTTTTTTAATTATTGAATTTAGAAACAAATCGAATTTTTCAAATTTTAGGAAAATAGAAAGGAAAATACATTTGAACAAGTGGTTGTAATAATAAAAAATTGCTCCATCATTTCGAATTATCTAAATTAAAAAATGAATTTTAAATTAAAAATAGTTTTAGTTTAGTGTAAATTATTTAAATTATTCATTTATTATTGTTTATATTTATTATTAGTAATGGATTATTTTCTCTCTTCTATATTTAGTTACAACTCTATTTTTTTTGCATTTACCTTAATTTAATGCATTATTTTGTTTTAACTTAATTCATATCTTTATTTATCAAAATTTATTATTCTTGATTTTTTTAATTTATTTTTTTGACTATTTATTATTTATCAATGTTTGCAGTATTTTATATTTTCATATCTTTTTTTGTCAAATTTCATTATTGGTGTTTTTTTATTTACTCTAAATTTAAGTTAGTAAAAATGTTTATTTTTTAAATTAGTGACTGACTTTTTGCTTCTGAATTAGTAATTTTTACTAATAAATTAATAGAAATTACTATTTTTTAATCAAATTTACTAAAATTCAAAAGCAAAAATTCAGTCACTAATTGAAATAAGTAGACATTTTTACTAATTTAAATTTAGAGAGTATTTAATTGTTTCGTATATTTAATAATGTTTGTAATTTTTTACAACTTCTGTCAATTTATAATTTTAAAGAATATTTTACATTCTGACTGTTAACAATTAAAACGAACAAAATGTTAGAAATGCAAAAAAAAATTAAGTTTAAAAATAGAGAAAAATTTAATAAAATGAAAAATTTTATTGAAATTGAAATTGTAAACAAATAGACTAATTGTCTATATCGTAAATTCGTACTATAATGGACAAAATAAAGTTGCGACCTTGAAAGGTTGTTTGGGTTTTGATTATGAATGGAAAAAATGTTGACGCCTGAGGAAATGTGCAGTGATAATAGGAAATGAAAGAAAATTGGAGAG